TTACCGCGACTTGTTCAGAATAGTCTGGGACGACGAGAAAACTTCAGGAACAGAGGCGAGCGGCTTCCGGGCACAGTCGTCGACCGACGACTCCGCGGCCCTCGCCGACGACGTCAACGATCCACGAGTCCTGTCGATCCTACAGACCCTGAAATTGAATTGCCCCTGCAAGACCTGCACGAATCAGGATCTGGCATCCTCGAGCCGACCGGAAGACGACAGTGACTTGAAGAGTTCGTCTCCCGAGGAATGCAAGAAGAAGAAATGGTTCAGTATCTGTGAATTTCTTGTCGAAACTACGGTTCCTTTTTCCGTTTCTCCGTCTTCTTCCGTCGGCCATCGCCGATCGGCAGGCTCTTGACTCGGTTCCCGCAGTTAATTCGTTGACTGTGTTTCAAAAGGCCGCTCAGGCACCGCGAGTACGTCGACACGAGCTCCGAAGCGACCTCGTCCGACAGGAACAACGACAGAGAGAAAAGGAAGAAATGGAGCAAGAACAAAGCGAAAAATCCACCGATTGTTCGCGAGAAGGCCACCTCGTTGGTGAATGCGAACCTAAAATCGTCTTCCGGTCGTCAGCGGTCCAACTTCTCCTTCTTCAACACCCTCTTCGACATCGTCTTCTGGCCGTACGTCTTCCTGAAGTCGAACCGTTGATCGAACGTTACCAATTTTCAGTGACGAAGAGCTCTCAATCGAGTTCTTCATTATTATTATTATTATTATTGTTATTATATTATGTTAACACCGCATCATATTTTGCAAGCGCGTTTGTAACTTTTCCAACGAAGATTTTTTTCTTTGTAACATTACAACCGTGCGATCTCTACGATCGTTGACCTTGTTCTTCACGGTGTAATGATCATGCACAAGCATTTTCAGAAGATGCGAACGTGCAAGTTACAAGTAAGCTTAAAGCTAAGTATGCTTCGAGCAACGTGAACGAGATTCCCAGAGGATGGTCGAGGAGCAATGACTTACAGAATGTCAACAATGTGAAGTATTTCTATGATTCTCGTGTTTACAGTAAAAAAATCTTTCGCGCAGAGACAGCGCTTGTACACTCGCACGATTACAAAAAAAGCCGTGCGTCCAGGGGACTTCCTGCTCCGTAGTTTTACAACACGCCGATTCCTGAAACGGATAAAAATCCTTAGCTGAGCCGTTCCTTCGTACACACATTCCCGGTCGCTTCGTCGGTTACCTTTTTTCGTGGGCGTTGACATGCTCCTGCGGAGCTTCTTCGAGAAGAACGACAACGTCAGTTTGTCGTAGAGATGGTCGATCTCCTGCACGGTGCTCTCCAGTATCTGCGTGAGAGCTTTCTCGTTCGGTACCAGGGCTTTGTCGGCGATCAGGGACAGGTGCAGATAGCCTCGATAGGTCACCAACGAGCAGCCTATTCCTGTGTCGACCCTGGTAAAAATCGGTCGCTCTTCAGCTCGCAAGAACGAACGAACGATATCATTCGGAGAAACGAAAGACGGCTTGCGCTGCTATCAGATACCTGTTCGGTATCCAGAATGCGATATTCTTCACCGAATGGCCGAGCACCTTGACTTCCCGTGGACCGACCAAGTTGCTGAAGACTATGGTGCTGTGACTTTTGATCACCGGTCGCATGAACGCCTCCGGAAGCACGGCCGACAGGAACTTCATCACCAAGAAGTTGACCATGTAGTCGGTGCTCTTCTTGAGCGCATCGTGCGCGCACCTGACGTCCTCGAGCCGTTCCAAGATTTGGGAGTTCTCGACAGGATTCGCGGACGCCTTGCCGCCTATCCTCGAGATGCAGAGCGGCAATATCCCGACGGAAATATTGTTCTTCAGAGGGACGTCTTCGCTCCAATCTTCTATCTTTGCTGGGAGAATCACGCTGATCGCGTCCGGGGTCGGTTCCTTCGTCTAGAAAGCAAAGGAGAGATTGATGAATGAAATTGTGCCCCAGCTTCTTCCTGCTGAAGAAAGCGGTCGATTTAGTGATCACGTACACGAACGAAGTGTTTGTGTAAGCTAACGGACAGAGCAGCGAGTATAACGTCCCCGAATCTGGCGCCAGTGATGCTCTTTATGTTCTGAATCTTGGTGAAGAGCCTCTGGTCGTAGTTGTTCTTGAAATCGTCCTCCAGCCAGTAGGAGACGAGCTTCTCGCCTGTCATCTCCGCCCCGTGGAGCGCGCTGGAACCGGAATAATAGCAGTATTGTTACCAGAACCGTCATCGATGCCGGAAGACGAAAGCGAACTGCGGGACAACCTTTTATCCATGCTGCGGAAAGCCTGAGCGATCAAGCAAGCAGGACTCCCAATGATGATCTTCGTTAACCTTGCCAGTCCCTTTAGGTTCTTCCAGAGATTCCGAAGAAGAACGACCAGCCTCTCCATCTCGTTGTCTGAAAGTACTTTCAGCTTGCTTCTCGCCTCTTCCAAGGTGAGATTTCGCAGGGACTTCGCCCCCTTCGAGAACTGTGTCGTCAACGTCTTGGCGGCTTGGGAGAACATCATGAAGTGGATGAACGGCATGGTAGCGGACATGACGTCCCTCTGCAGGCAGGTCTGCAGGCTTCTGTCGCCGATCAGAGAAGGCTTCACAGAATTGATCTTCTTCGGTTCCAGGCTCTTCATCTTGAAACTCGTGTGCTCCAAGTGCACGTATGTCTCCTGGGCCGGTTCCTTGTCGACGATCACCTCCTTGAAGAACTTCAGCAGAGCCATGCCGTCGCCCAGGGAATGGTGGACCCTGAAGAGGACGGGAATCTTGATCTTGCTGGCCAGACGTTCCTCCAGTCGCCGCAGGTAATGATGGCTCGACCTAGGACAGCATTTGCCGACCAGGATCTCCCAGGAGGCGGTGTGCTCCTCCGGAAGCGGCTGGTTGCAGACGTTCCAGAGGATCCTCTTCAAGTGGCCGTTGTAAACGCTGTCGCAGGACCCGTCGCAACTTGCCCTCTCGTACTCCAACCACCTGACTCGCTCCTTCAGGTCGATCTCATCGGTCCTCTCCCAATAGTAGTAACCGAACCTCTTCTTCCTCTTGTACAGAAGCTTCTCGTGCACCGAAGGGAGGAGACGCGTTCTGACCAGCTCCCTGAAGCTGTCCAGGAAGTTCGTGTTCGAATGCCGAGCATCCTTCTCGAATATCAAGAGGATATTGTTCACGGCTAGGGCCGAGGGCTCTTCGATGGCCCAGATGCTGTCGGCTCCGTCGAGGAGGCCCGCGTATTTCTCCTTCAGCTGCGCCCTTAGGACGAGGTCGATCACACGGCGATAAAGATACAGGCACAGAAACAACAGAGCAATCGACGGGGCAAGAAGAAGCGAGAAAATCGTCAGGATCACTTGGTATATCTTCGACATGACGGTTTCCGTAGCTTTACACTCGGTGATTGTTTTTACGTGTTACAGTGATTGTACGCTGGTCCCGCGAATTTCTTGGACCTGCGAAGCAAAAATAGATCAGCCCATTAAAACCTACGGTTACCAAAGATGTCCGATTACTTGTTTTGTAATCACTGAAATAAACGATATTATTATGTTTTCGCGTTATTGAAATTGTTATGGAACTTCTATTGTAAAATGCTCGAATGCTCGAGTCTACGGAAATGTAGTTCACGGGAAACGGGTCGAACGAAGTTAAAATCGGCTTGACTTACATGGCGATCGAGGGTGACCGGGCTTCGGAACGGTCTCGATGCTGTTCAGCACCAAGTAAGACGACTTTCAGCAGCGTTGCTCTTTTTATAGTGAAGCACTGGGCATCGATCGGCACTGATCCAATTTACCCTGACTCTTTTATCCGGTTATTACCTTTAATTGCATAATTCCTGATGTCCTTAAACGTTGGCCACACGTTCGAGAACGCGACCCGACCGCCCCGGTCTTGCCGTTAACGCGCTAAAAAGAAACAATTATATGGCTTTACAGATTCTTCCTCCTCCGAAACGCAGCTGTTTCCCTTTCACCTACGTCGCGAACGCGTAAACTTACAGTATCTTTTGCGCATTATCTACGAATGCTTTCGTAGGAAACCGTATTGATCTCGTTGGTCCTGCTGTCGCGTCTTGCCTCCTGCAAAAGGACTCTCAGTAGAGAGTTCTCGTGTGCCAGACGATCGCTGCGACGAATTTCTTGGGCCAGCAGCATCTCCTTGCTCGGATTCAAGGACATTGCGATCGTCCCTGTAGTCGTGCCGCTTGCTTTCTTCAACATGTACTGGCGGGTAAAGATTTAGCATATTTAAACGACCTCTGTCATTATTTTCAGAAATATTTTACGCCTATTCAAGCGCATTCTGTGTACTTAAGACTTCTGGTCTTTTATAAGAAAGACTATACTGCAAGAACGATACAATTGTTCCGCGACCTTGAACCACTAATTGATTCTGCTTCAACCTGTAGCGTCTCGATGGAACCTCGCAACAAGACTTCCTGCTGATCCTTGGATTTCTTAAGCCTCAAATACTTTCTGCAAACATTTTCAACGGCCTCGTTACTCTCCGCGAGCCTATCCCCGAGACCTAGCATCTTTTGCTGAAGATCGTCGACCTGAATATCATCGGCGAATATTACTACACGACTGAATAACGATTATCATAGTAGATGTGTACCTCCACGCATTTTTCTTCGAGAAACCGATTGGCGGTCGCGAGCTCTTTCTTCAGCTGGTCATTTTGCAACAGCAACGAGTCGTATCTAGACGGAAACTTAGCTATACAATTGGTATTCAAAATAATCTACGCTCCTCATTTTCTTATATATTTATTGCTATTTCAACATTATACTTCTGATGCCAAGTTTTTTGCACTTCTTTCTTCAGGGACTCCGGCAACGCGATCTCATTCCCAAGCCGGACGTCCGTCACGCTCTGCCTGAACAGGTCTGGAAAACTACGTCTTCACAGTAAACAAGTTCGTTTTCGTCCGAGACGATACGTACTCAACATGTTCTTGTTGCGCTTGTTCGCTTTCCTCAGGTCGTCCGCAACTAATTTGCTCTTCGTCTTTAAAGTTGTGTATCTCAACCACCGTTCAGCCTCGAGACTGCGGGACACCATCAAGCTTTCCTCCAGAGAGTTCACCGTGTCGCGGATATCATTAATCTTCGAGATGTAATCTCTTTTCGAAATCAAAATCTGTTGCGGTCCCGTGACTTCCATAATTTTCTATTTGATACGCGATGAAAACAACTGGAGTGCGGATCAATAAACTTCAAGATTGATTGGTTGGAAATTGGAGATTATCGTGAATGAGTTGACTTCAGGTACTAGAGTAGTCGAAGAGGTAAAATTCGGAGAATCAATGCAGTCAGCAGAGTTCAGAGTACAATTACCGTATTTATTTAGTTACAAATGTAGTTTAACCCTTTCCGTACGAGCGCCAGATATATCCGGCACCCATCTGATGACCGGTATGGACGAGTGCCGAATACATACATCTGGCATTCATGCGAATCATATTTATGACATATTAGAAATTATTCTAATAACCGACTGAGTCCCAAGCAGTGCGATCGCGCTGTTCAGATCTTGTGTCTTCGATTAAACTTTAGTGACGCACGTATATCGCACAGCTGCTTTGTTTCATTCTTTTTTCTTTTTGCTTTGTTTGTCGATCTTGACGAGCGCTATGGTGCCGCTTGATTCTCTTCGCAATCAATTAAGACAAGCGCGCTATCACGCTGTTCGGCATTTTTCGACCGCATTATTCTCTGATAATCCCATATTTTCTGAATAATCCCTAGGACTGAAACGGATAAAGTCTTTTCTTACAAGGATTCCGAAAAAACAGCTACATGTATAATCGTCTTTTGATCTGAATTGATTGAAAAAATTTCAGGTTACATTTTTATTCCAAACTTGTTCATAGATTTTAACATATTGTAGACCCTTTACAGAATGTTTACAGGAAACAAAAGATTTAGAAACGGATTAAGCACAG